TGAGCGGCAGGGACGATCTCACACGTATCTGCCGCACTTCCAGCGGCACCGTCGAGCGAGACAAAATCTTACGTAGATTACGCACGGAGGTTTCTGTCGCCTCATGAATTATTATCTCAGAAGCTCAATCAATGTTTCGTTGAACGGGGCTGGAATGTATTCACCCCGTCGAGCTTGTTAATTCGCTCGTCTGCTCACTACGCTTCCCATTTCCCTGTCCGGACTGCCTCACGATGTTTTTCATTGGCTCTGGCAAATTGCGTCACGGGAAAACGAAGCCGTCCGAGCGTAGACCCAACGATGGCGAAGGCGATGTTCAACATCGGTGGGCAACCGAACCCTTTTTTCCCTCCTCACGAGTTGCGCTTCTCCGGAAAGCTCTTCGGTTGGGTGACCGTGCTCGCTCGGTTGCTTGTATTCCCGAGCAAAAATAAGCAAACATCGTCAGTCTTCCGTACTAACGAGGCCGCACGGGCGAACGGAGACATCGAGTGAAATTTGAGAGCGGAAACAAACGGCATCAACGCGACATGTTGAGAGACATAGCACAGAAGACACGCAGAAGAGCGCTGAGAATCGATGTGTAGCTCGTTTCGTCTACGCGACGAGATCTCACCAGGAGATAGAAGGAGACGATTTTTCCTCTTTTCTTCAAGACTCGCATAGAGCGATAGATCCACTCCGTTCCTCATTCGACGCCAGCTTCCCAGGCCTGGAAAATGGTAATGACGAGGGACATTGAACGGGACGCTCTCAGCACCAATCAGCGACGTCCAACAATCCGTCCGCACCGATCGATCTTGTCGCAGGATTTACAACCCGGATCGACGAACCGATGACAAGCAGTCGAGCACACGAGCAATCTGATCGACTCCACCGGAAAACATGCTGAAACGTGCGCAAACGTGCTATGGGAGAATATCGAAATTTCAATGTGTTCCTGCAGGTCTCGCGAGAATCAACCCTCTCACTCACTAATCCCCGGCGAACGAAACACAGCTCGTTATGGCAATCGATTTTCCGAGCGAATCGTCTCGAAGGTCCTGCCGCCGCGCCGTCGCGATGACATCGCCTTGAGCCAGACAAACAAAACGTAACGAGTTCCCCTTCCCAACCGTCGCGCACGGTGCGGCTGCCCGTCCATCCCGTTTCCCATCCCGCGCGTGGACTCACCTTAAAGTCTGAACGATATGTTTAATTGCATGTCGCGCCAGAGAGAATCGCTGCTGTCACCTTCCGTCGTGTCGTCTATGTCATCGTTTTTATTTCGTTCTCGACCCGGCGCAGACAGCCTCCGAGGCACGCGTTCCGGTTTAGCATCGCAGGACACGTTCCATTGCAGAGCGTTCGAATGCTCCCGTGGAATCGGTGCTGCCGTCGAGGGCACGGAGCCTGTCAAGTGTGTCTTGTTTAGCGGCGCGTTTTCGAAATGCGCTACCCGTTCAAAAATAACGACGTGTCACGGAAAATAAAATATGACTAACTAAGTAAGTATGATTTCTCCGCTGGAACATCGTTCTACTCTTCCTTCAGCGTGATTACGAAAACTCGTGTAGTACGAAGGGACCCCCTCAATTGGCAGTCATCAGAACTTTTCAAAGCGATTTATATAGCACGTATCATAATTACGTCCCTCTGGTGCACCGAACGCTCGGTTGGATTGTCCCAAACCGTTGCTGAGAAGTCTTTGCAAACCCCACTGAGCTCAGGAGAATCACAACTTCTCGGAAAAAGTCGGATCTTATACGAACTCGCGTCATCCCGTCCCCCCGAGATTCCGAAATTCTGCAATCCCCTCGGAAAATCTTCCCAGCTTTCTATCCCTCTGAGGAGTTCTCGATATATTTCCAAGTCATCGGGAGGAATAAAGGGAACTTCCGAGGATCTGCTGTGGGTAGAGTCGGAAAATTGACTCGGATCATTCAGTTTCTCTCGAGCCGACTTAGACATGTTCGACTCCAATGCATTCGGGCACGAAGCCTTATTCGTGACACCTTCTCCACCGAGCCTGAGCGATATGTCCCACCATCTGAAAGGACGGCATCCGGGTCGACAGCATGGAACGGCCGATCGGGCTACAGGTTGAATTTGACTATATTTTCTGCGAATCGAAGGAAGCAGCAACCAACTTCGTGTCCTCCGTGGAAAGGACCAGGACTGACGCCCACCATTTGAGGATCCATGATGCGCGCTCACGACTCCCTGCCAGCCTGATTGAATCTCGTTTCGACGCCGGAAGATATTGCGATGCTCATCGGCCCCTCAGATGCACGGGGAGAGGAAGAACTGACCTTCCCTTAAAAGCTTAGACCATCACCGAGGGATGAGGAAAAACACGAGGGAGGAGGAAACTGCGGAAGAAAGATCATCAGTGATCGAGGGGGTGTAGGATGAGCTTGGGTTTTCGGCGGCAAGGACGGAGATGGGAATCGATTCTTCCTTGATTTGACCGCAGCTCGCCGTCGTTTCCATTGCCAGACGAGGGGAGGAGTTCCGACCGTCTGTAGGTTCCTCGCCGGCTGCGAACAATGTTTTCCCTCCAGGCAATCGATCAGTCGAAAACTACTTCCATCCGAGAGATCTGGGTTACGGCGGCGCAGAGTTTCCGGAGTCGCGCAACGGAGGACTCCAGATTGTGGAGTTTGAACCTCTGTCACGACCCCTGTCGTACTGCGCAAGGGTTTCACGAACCTGAAACGATCATTTCTCTCCGTAGAGATTCGCTGACGTTTGGCAGAGATTTCGTCCGCAATAGAAGGGAACGGAAAACGACGTCGAGGATAACAACGACGATCGGGTGCGGGGGAGAACGCCGGTGATGGGAAGAGAATGGAAGCAAGCGAGTGACTCGTTGATGCACTTGTATTGTTCGCAAATCGAGGAAGTTGGAGTCGTTGTGCTTCTGTGACGCCCGTTAGACGAGAAAGCATCGGAGCAAACCACCAGCCGCTTTGCTCGACCAGCGATGGACTGGATCATCTAGACGAGCGACCATCAAGCTCGGGAAAAGCTGCACGATGAAAACGCATTATCAACAACGACGACGTCGTCGATTACTTCTACGTGTACTTAATCCGATGATGGAACAATACACCAGCCGAGAGCACAATACAAGCTGTGGCATTGGATCTTGATTCAGGCTGAAGTAGAGGACGCTCTCGTGGGCTTCCAGCGTAGGCTATATTATGCCTCGGTGTCTGCAATATAATAATATAATAACATGGTTATATAATTATGCAATAATATGATTATGTAATAATATCATGATATAATATTACGAAATTCATTAATATTATAATAATATAAAATAATATGATGATATAATATTATGATTATAGGATGATATGATAATATAATGATCTCTATACGTAAATCTTCAAGTATGACTGTTTGTACACTTGTGTCGTTGTAACTCTTCAAAACGTCGAAGGTTTTCCACGAAATCTCGGCTGCAGCTCCGGACAGGTCTGTGGGAGTTTTTTTAGGGGTTTGTTCCGAGAGCGGTCACCGGGTGTACGCCGCAATGCCGATTTTCGTTTTTTTTCGCAACTTCGTTTTTGAATTACCATTTTCATCTCTATATATCTTTTCCGACGATATCGATCGGTTCCTCCCTGAGTAGAGAGAATCCGCCGCTGCTTATTTGTTAAGCGCAGATCCATGCCCCGTGAACGATCATGGCTTGGTCGAGCTTAATCTATATATATAAAAACGTATGTCTGTCTGTCTGTTTGTCTGTCTGTCTGTATGTCCGGGGTACCCAATAGACTCGAAAACGGCTGAACCGATCTTCGTGAAAATTTAGGAGTGTGTCCTGGGGGATCCAGCGGTGGTTATAGGGGGGTCAGTTCTCCGATGCGATGAGTCCTTCTACCTTAAAAAAATTATTTGAGTGCTCCACTCACGAAAATACGAAAACTCGGAAAAAAATTGAAAAATCACAAATTCGCAAAATTCACTAACGCCTGAACCGATCGCCGCAAAAATTCAGGGTCGGGTTCTCGGGAGCTTCAGGAAGGTCATCTGAGGGTCGTCGTTCTCATGTTATGGGTCCTCCCCCCATAAAAAAATGATTTGAGTGGTCCTCTCACCGAGAATCAAAGATTTCATCAAGGGAAAGACGGGAATTCGATTTTCCGGAGGACATATCTAATAAAAGCGGGGGCACGGGGAGGCGGGGAAACGGGGAAGTGGGGAACAGGGAAAGCGGGGAACCGGGAAAGCGGGGAACCGGGAAAGCGGGGAAACGGGAAAGCGGGGAAACGGGAAAGCGGGAAAGCAGGGAAGCGGGAAAGCACGGAAACGGAAAAGCAGGGAAACGGGACGCTCACCAAGAGCACGCGCGGCCAAAGCAAGCGCACCCGGAGCCAGCGCACTCGGCGTTAGCGCACTCGGAGCCAGCGCATTCGGAGCTAGCGCATGTGTAGTGAGTCTAGCGATACCGAGTCGCCGCGAAGCGGCGACCGGGAGCGCTAGTGATCCATATATGAGTAGAAAAAGAGCGATTAGACAATGAGAACATGGCTATTGAGGGAGAAAAAGACCGCGATTTAGGGAACGAATATTTATGAAAAACAGAAGACCACAAAAAGAAGAGCCAACAATGAGCTCACTACCATTGAGACAGACAGGGTCCTACTCAAGTTCACGGGAATACCACCACCGGAAGTCGAATTTTCCGGCAGAAAACACAGCTTTCAAGAAATGCAACTCCTCCACACAAAATCGAAAGAAAAGCAAGATCGAATGATCCTCTCGAGATATCGAAGATTGGAAAACAGTCTGGAGTCTGGATGCGTCAGTATCATCCCACTGATGCGAATATATTAGAAACAGTGGAGTCAAGTCAGAATGTTATAAGAATCACGCTCGAAGAATGAGATCGATAACCATGGCCCAGAGGAGGATCAGCAATGCTCGACTTATTGACAAAAGGAGACGGAAGGAGGAAACACGGAGCTGATGAAGGATCCCGAAGGTCAATCGCTATAAAAGGAGGAATGGATTTCATGATCAATCGCATCTTTCATCCAGCGGAAACGAAGTGTCTCATAGCGGAAGCAACTGAGATTCCGAGAAGAGATGAATATCGCAACATCCAACCAGGTTGGATCCAGGACTGCGAAAAAACGGGGTAAGCTCACCAAGGCTTGGTAACGAAGCCGAAGCAGGAACATTAGGAGAAAATCGACTCATATCGCGCAGCTCAATGATTACTTAGTTGGAATCTTTCACCCTTCGAATAGATTCAAGGCACTTCCCGGCAAGCCCCGCGAAGAAAGTGAAATCCCTCGGCGACTTGACGCCCGGGAAGATCGGCGGTATCGTGAACGGTAGGATAGAATCGAAGGGTACGATCCGAACGTGGAAAAAAGATAATGAACAAGGCCAGCTGTTCTCATTCGTCATGAGCGATGGATCAGCGGATATACAAGCTGTCGTGAGCGGGGACATGTGCACCGAATACCACGACCGTATTACTGTTGGACAGTGTTACCAGATAACGGCGTTCAAAGTGAAAGAGACCAATCCGGCATACAATCCCACGAACCATCCATGCGAGTTACACTTGACCAAGGTATACTCAGATACGAAATAGAGACGTATTCGATGTTTTATCGAATAGCTGAACTAGATTAGTACAAATGTTAAATGTGCACAGATAAGCAAAATGGTCCCGATCCAAGGCTCACACATCCCAAAGAGTATCGTAAGTCGCACCACGCTCGCCGAAATAGCGAAACAGGACGCGAACAAGGTCGTTAACGTGGAAGCCATCGTGTACGAGGTCGGTAAACCGCAATCCATAAGCTGCCGCGACGGAATCACACGGATGAAACAGAGTGTTTTGCTCGTTGACGAGACCCTCAAAATCATAAGCCTCGGCCTATGGGCGGAAGCAGTACAAGAACTCGACGGAATGGAAAGTAACTGCGTGCTTGTCAGGAACCTTCAAGTTAAAGAGTACGCCGGCAAAAAGCAACTGAACAGCATGAGCGGAACTGTCGTCGATAAGGAGCCTGCGTCCGAAACAGCAAAGAGCATGCGGCTCTGGTGGGAGGCAGAAGGTTCCGAAGAGGAATTCGAAGAAATAAAGCTATCCGAATAATTTTCAGTTCATGTTAGATAACTAACTCATATACTCCTGAATTCTTTCATACTCCCATAAAAAGAAGTTAGAATGACGTTTTCACGCCTCCATTACGGTAGTGTCATTGACACTACCACTACGATTTTTTTTGTATCATTTGTGTGTTTGTTTGTATCATTCTAAGTGATACACTATCTGATGCACTCTTTCAAATAGTGAAAGGCTCGCAACAGACGGATGTTCCCCGGGAGATAGACATGAGGACGTTAAAGCTGGACAAGATCGTCGACGGACTCCTTTTCTACTCGAAAACCGAGGCATTCTGCCTCTTCTGGGAGTCGAAGGCTTTCTCCACAGGTACGAGGGTACTTGTATCCTCGGTCCCACGTCGGTGGGACAATGATTGGAACCGGCGAAGGGCCGGAGAGGTTTGCGAAAGCAAACCTATCTCCAAAACTTTAAAGAACTTGAAATAAGACAAAGTCTTTGAATCAGAGAAACGCCTTTACTATGTTAGTTCCTCATCCTCCAATCCATCTAGCGGCCTAGCTCTCAACTCGATCTCTTGGTAGCCCAGGCGTTTCAGCCTCATAGCTAGAAAGTAGATCACTTCGCTTAAAGCAGTAATGATTGAGCATAGAAATCCAGTTGAAAACCACCTTTTGAGGTCCCCGCTTGAAGGCACCGGCGTTGGTGTCGGTGCCCCTGTGGTGCTTGGCATTTCCGTAGTAGGCCGACCGGTGGGAGTTTCCGTCGTTGGTTTGATTGTCGAGGATTTTGGAACAGGCATGGTGCTGGGAGCTGATGTCGTTGTGGTATGAAGCCACCGACTGTAAGCATCCCAGATAGCTTGGCCGCCAGAAACCTTGACAGGTGTGATGCAGGCCAAGTAGGGTGATACGTGCCGCATACAGGCTTGCTCAAACTCGTAGCAAGTGGACACCTTCTGTCTGCTCGATTCCACAAGTGCGGCGTCTTTGCTGGCAGGCTTTGTCACAATCTCGGGTGTACTCGAAGAAGGCTTTGGAGCCTCCGATGGTGATGATCATCGAGAGTACCTCGATCATGGTGTTCATGTTGCTAGTGGGCAGAAATACCAATTAGGCCTCCAAGCTTTTGAAAGGTTGCTTTCGTTAAGGCTTCGGTGAAAATGTCTGCGAGCTGATCTTGGGTCGGAACATGCTGAATTTTGATTCGACCACTTTCGAAAAGATCTCTCATGAACAGATAACGAACTGATATGTGTTTAGTTCGTTGACGATATTGGTTTTGACTCACCAATGAAATCGTTGCTTGGTTGTCAATCAGAAGAGTCTTGGTGTGGCTGTGGCCAATTTCCTCTGTGATTTGTTCAAAGTACAACATGAGTTGTATGGTTGAGACTGCTGCGATAAGTTCGCTCTCGCAGCTCGAAAGGGAAAGGGTTCTTTGCAACTGGCTGCCCCAAATGATCGGTCCAGAATCAGCCATTACAAGAGACCCTGACACACTCTTTCTGGTGATTGGACAACTAGCATAATCTGCATCGCTATAGTAGCGGTATCCCTTGAAATCGGAACTCTTGTAAACTATTCCATAGTTTGTTGTTCCTCGTAGATATCGAAGGACTCTCATGCCTTCCGACCATCTCTTCTTTGTTGGATGCTCTAAGAAGCGCGATAGATAACCAACGATGAATGAGATGTCCGGTCTGGTGCCTAACTGCAGATACATGAGACTTCCGATAAGTTCTCGATAGGGTATATCCTTG